TCATTAAACAGGAGCCTCATAAAATTATTCTGGAAATATAATAACTCAGACTGCCTGTGTTTTTTAATTATATGTTTAAATGTACATTAATAAAATTATTTAAACTTGAATCTTTTTGCTATGTTTAACGCTGGGTTTTTATGTGAAAATCTCATGAAAAGATTGGCGGGGAAATAATAATATCAAATATTTATTATGCATAAATGGTATTTTTTGTACGTAAATCATGACTTTAACATGGAATCTCAATGGATGGGAGTGTTTCCAAAAATCTCAACATCCACATCCCCTCGGGAGATAGTAAAAAAAAAAAAAGAAATACAGGAAAAAACCAACTCCGGCCGGCTAGACAAACGAGGGATTGTATAAGAAAGGGAGAAAAAGCATTAATTTATCCTGGAAGGCGGCCGTAAATTTAGTTAGAGGTGGAATAAATAACCAACTGGTCCACACACCCACTTCGGGGGGGAAGCCGGTAAATCATGCGGTGCTGGTGTCTGGTGTAGACGGGATCCGAGTGAGTGGGGCCATCTTGGCGGATCGATATACATCCCCTTCTTCCGTACCTGGCCCTGGGCAAAAATTGATGTACTAACGCTTCAAATCTACGGTTATGGCCTTATCGGGTGTTGAAATACACTTGGTCACATTATGTGATTTCAGATAGAGGTAAAAAGTTAATAAATTAAATAAAGGATGCATTAGTAAATTTTTTTATAGCAATACCTATTCCTCTTTTTTGTAGATTGATCGTCTCCTATCTATTCCAGTTGGTTTTTACCTAAACTGCTCAAAAGTGAATAGGGATATTTGTAATTTATTATTATTCTATTCATTTTGATTAAATTAGCCGATATATTCTTCTTAATTGGATAAAACAAAATAGAAAACATAAGCCAAAAACAAACAAATGTCAATCCTCATTTTTAATAACGGATTTACTTAGGAACAGTAAACGTGAAGATTACTCATTCTGTAAATAAACACCTTTTCTCGTCTATTCTTCGTTTTAATTCAGTTGTATTGTCTTTAACCACGGAAAGACATCAACTCGAACCAAAAGTTCACAATATTATTGTGAGAATGAGTCATCGAGGTCACCGGCAAGTGGATATCGCAGAGGCAGTGGGCATTTATCAGAGCCCGGTTTCCCGGGCTTTAGCATGATGCTGAGAGACTGGAAGTGTCAATAAGAGTCCTGGTGGTGGATCTCAGCGCTAAAGGAGGACAGAAATATTGTCATTGCTGCAAGACAGAACCCTTTCCATAGTGCCGCCAGATCCTAAATAAAGTACAACATATTTTGGCAAGGCCTTTATCAACGCAAACGATTCGTAATCGTATGTCGGAAGTTGGCCTCACATCATATGCTCCATTGAGACCAGCAGCAACAGCCTGCTACTCAGGAAAATATGGTGCGACGAGCCCCTAGAAGAGAACACCAATTGGAATGCTCGGCTTTCTGCCTGCATAGTGATAGAAGGCGCCGAACAGACTACTGAGAACAGGGAATGCGAAGAATGCCCCCTTCTCAGGGATAACAGTGCTCCCTTCAGTGCAGTTTGGAGAAGGGGGTGTAATGAATGGTCTGGGCTGGACGAACTGGACTCCATATTGTTGAAGGCAACTTCACCGCAGATTGTTATGTCCAAAAAATTATCGAGGAATACATCCCATAATCCAGGGATCTCATTGGCAGGGATTTTCAATTTCTGGTTGACAATGCCAGACCTGATAGAGGAGAATTATTTATCAATGTTTAGAAAACCCGGCAATTTCCCAACTGCCCCTCCCCCCATTGTCATCAGTCTCAATCCCATTGAACATATGTGGGATGCGTTGAAGAGAAGATTTTTCGATCAACATCCTCATCGAGTTTACCTGCAACAACTAAGTGCAGCATGTACGGAGTGGAATTCCTTATGAAATTAGTGACAATCTTATTAGCAGTATCCCTAAAGGGCCTTTGTAGCTAGATTCCTAATTCTGGGAGACGAAAAGCCAGGACCTGAATTATACACACGGTAGCTCTTGAATAAATTTTGGGGTCTGGTAAAACGCCTCAAGCTCTAGATAAAAAATAGGGATGCACAATAGTCCAATTCTGGTCGCGGTGCACAAGTCATAAAGAGGCCTGCTCCTATATAATATAATCAAATCTAAAATGTCTAACAGGTGCACACAGGTTTTAGCTAACAGAGACCATTATACATGGTATTAATTGGTTAAAAAAAATATTGTGTTCAATAAACAAAATTATGGAATTAGAACCTTTTATTTTGTTATTTTTGAAACCCCATTAATTAAATTTTCTTTAATTAAAAAACATAATAATTTCTAACAAATTTTAATGCAATTTATAATAAATATATGTACAATAAAAATGGGGTATGAATCAGTCCTATCTCTGACACACAAAACCAACCAGCATCGATAAATAGTGTCTAATAGACCAGTATAGACACAACACTCGTAGTGCATATAAAACTATAGCATTTTACAGTCAAATTAAACTTTTGTTCAACCAAATTAACCGTGTTTTTAAACTAAATTAACCATTTTTTCAACCAAATTAATCCTTTTTCAATCAAATTAAACCTTTTTTCAACAGCATTTAATAAATGATCCTCTTCGACCAGTCTTACATTTTTTTTTTGTTCTATGGAATGTTTGCAAACTTGCCTCTAGTCCGTCATCGTCATTGGGCACGATCCGTTATTATCAACCCATTTTTTATTCTCGTGCTTCTAATATTATTGGTTATAATGTATTATTTCTCTATCCATTCGAAAGTATTATTTACAACTTAATCGTAATATATATATTTTCGTGTCATGGAAAGTACATCTATTGAAGAATTTTTTTTTCATACCAATGTTCAATCCACAATTTTCTTACACTTATTTAGTATTTACATGTTTTTAACACCAATACGTATAATTTTAATGGTTTAAGTGCGGTCGAAAAAAAGGTTTAACTTGGTTGAAAAAAAAGGTTTAATTTGGCTGAAAAAATGGTTAATTTCGTTGAAAAAAGGGTTAAATTGGGTAAAATAGACTTAGTTTGGTTGGAAAAGGGTTAATTTGGTAGAAAAAAGGTATAATTGACTGAAAAATACTATTGTTCGAGGCCTTTTCTCGTGTGAGCATAATGTGATATCTAGTGAGATTTTCCTACTCTCAGAGAACAAACTACGACGAAACCTCAATTAATATATGAAATTGAGATCTGACAGTCTTAACTAGTTTTTACAAATAAAATTATTTCGTCAAGCCAATGGTTTCTAATAGCAGACCAGATTCTTAAAATGGGCTTTAACTAGATGGTCTTCGAATCGAGCTCCATCCACTGAGTTATGGATGGCTTCTTTATTTGAGGATTGTGAACTGAAAATGTTTTTGCTTTCATTGTGTAGTGATTAATGTATTTACGCCATTGTTTGTTACGTAAATTTAATCAAATTGCTATCTCAGTATTTACGATAGTTTGCTACACTACATCTGTCTCAGAAACTAATATTCTTTGTTAAAAATTTCATTAAAGAATATTATTTTATTAAATGGACTCAAATTTTAAAACAATCGTGAAAATAACTAAAAAATCTTGTAGGTTCTTAGAACAGCTACAACCAATTGTTTTGAAAAATGTAAAAAAAACTATGTCCTTTTATATTTAAAAAATAATTATATTTTTGGTATCTTATGCTATATAAAGAAACCTGTCCGTCCATTCTTAATTTACTAATTTACTGTTTTTAGTTTATTAATTATTTTAATAAAATACATCAAACCATTCGATTAGTAAATTACCAATTGTTGTATACGTCTTTTCATATATTAACAAATTACCACAACAGCAGCTATTTAAAATTTTTAATTAAGTTACAATGATTGATGTAGATCCTTTGAATGGCTTTAGTTCCTTATATCAACAAAACCCATAAATTCAATAAAAATAAAAAATAAAATATCTATTGTATAAATGTTTACGCCTGTATAAGTTTTTTGTATTTAAGTTTTTTTTTTTGTGCCTACCCAAAGGACTGCTCTGGACGGTCATTTTCGTTCTACTTCAATATTGCAACACACTTTCTTATGGATGTCTGATCCGAGCAAGATCCCCACGATAGAAACTTGCAATTACTCGGTTGTTTTATATAAAAAAATACCTCTTCACAAGCAACATGTTGGTATGCCCAAGACCGAAAGAAGTGGTTTCAGCAGCCTTTTAGCAGAGGAGGCACTTTGGCCTGGGCCGAAGACCACCTCGCCGGGTCTAAAGGAAAGACCGCTCTTTCTTAAACACCTCTTTTCTCTGCGGAATACCTAACTAGAAAGTGTTTCTCCTTGTCCATAACAATAAGTATTATTTTACAACATAACTGCAATTTTAAATTTTTTAAATGTTCTATCCTTATCTTTCAATTAATTAAAGTTTTTAGGTGAGATAAAAAAGTCAGTGTCACGAGCGGGATTCGAACCCACGACCTTCGGCTAGATACGCCGCCATTCTACCCCCTGAGCTATCGTGACCCAACCTCAACCCACCTTTTTGAATTTTCCCTCCTTTTCGCCATTTTTCAAATTCTTTCTTTTCTTATTTTCTTTTTAAATAAACCAGTTATTAATAATACGATATTTACAGACATAACTGGTATTTGAACCATTAAGTAAATAACACAACACATATCCATTTAAATTAACTTGTGCAATTGTAAACACATGTTGAAAATGTTAAAAACAACAAGAAATACCGTTAAAGCAGCTTGTTTATTAAGTGTTAAAATTATGACGAATTGTATAAAAATACTTTTGTTATTAATGATATGTGTATGTCAGTGTAAGTTTAAGAAAACTAAACGATTGCAAGGGAAGAAAATTAAAGAGGAAGATCGGTTGAATACTGCCATTGCATTAAATTATTACGAAGGGCTTCGTGATAACTACGCTTACGCAGAAGTAAACTACACTCGATTTGCTTACGAGGGTGAGTTTCTATTTATGGCGAGTGTTCGTCTTAAGCATTCTGTGGTTCATTTTTGTACTGGCGCTCTCATCACTGAGTATTTCGTCGCGTCAGTCGCCACATGCTTCGTCCGCATCAACTTGGTTGAAAATCTTTACACATTCCCAGATGTCCAAAACATCGTCGTCCAGCTTGGCTCTCGTTATCTGGAAACAAAAGTCGATCCGACGTTCACCATCGTCGAAATCGAAAACGTCCTGCTTCATCCCAAGTTGCAGGTAGATATTCGAGGTATTAGAAACGACGCGGCCATTTTAGTAACCAAGCGTGCTTTACCACAGCAAATTAAGCCTGTCAGTTTCATCTCTTATTCAGAGGAGAAATTAATGAATGAGTTTACAATGTTAAATAAAAACGAATTGTTTTGTCAGCTATTGGGCTGGGCTGAGTCACCGCCATCTCCGTTAATGGCCGATGAACAGAGGATCGCCGATGATCTGATAAGTGAGGCGTTACAAGTGTTAAAAGTCAGGCTGGTCCAGGACGACGAATGTTTGTACCTACTGTGCGTTGATAACAAGAATATGTGCTCTTTAAACTTCTCTGATTTGAATCTGTTCTGCGTCCAGGCGGTAAAAACGGTGACCGGTTCTTGCAGATCGTATGTCGGCAATTCGTTGATCTGCGGTGGATTTCTTTGGGGTTTGGGTTCCGCATTGACAGCAGGCCGTAATCCTTGTGATGGAAAGAACCTACCTATGGTTATGATAAGACCAGACCTGTTTATCAATACGATGTACAAGGGAATTAAAGTTCACGTCCCAATTAAGTCTGATGCCTTCACTGCTTTGCCCTTCATTATATTTCTAGTTACTATATCCGTGGTTCTACTGCACTTCTAATCTAACTTCTAACAAAATAACAATAAAAAATTGGTTTACATATTATGCACTTTTATATTTTGTTAAGTTAACATGTGGAGTATTGTTACGCTTTTTTTATACAGTGTCAGCTGCTTGATAAATGAATATATTCTCTCTCATTCACTCATTTACACAATCACGCTTCCTCAACTTTTCTCATTCTCTCTCATTCAAATGCTCATGCTCTCTATCCATCTCTCTCGCTTTTTCTCTCACTTCCTCTCTTTCGTCTTGCACATATTCACAAACATGCCTACTATATTTTTCTTTCTATTAAATTTGTTCTCTTTTTCTTACTCTCTATCCTCTCTCAGATTTGTAATAAGATTGACTGCTTCTCTGTTTTAAAAAATACTTAGGTAAATTTAGTCTTTTTATCGTAAAATATATTTGATTTGGCAGTATAACTTAAAATTAAATAGGTTAAATCTTAATGTTGTAATTTGTCCCTTAATGTTAAGCAACAATTGTTCCCTCTCTCTCTCTTTCTCTCTCTCTCTCACTCACTCTCTCACTCTCTCTCTCTCTCTCTCTCTCTCTCTCTCTCTCTCTCTCTCTATCTATCTATCTATCTAGATATCTTCGATCTATCTGTCTCTCTTACAGACTCAACCTATTTTTTAATTAAAATTTATAGTTAGAATTTGTTTAGTTTTTTTTTTTTCATTTAGAGTGCTTATATTTTATATTGTTTACTGCTTTAATTAGTTTTACTGTTATGTATTTCCATGAGCAAATAGCAATTTAATTTTATTCATTTTCTAATTTGTTACTACTTCTCAGAACAAATTTCATTTTTCTAATGGTATGCCATCGTTACTGTATAGAATAAAACAAACGGCAGATTATTCGTGACATTTATGTGGCAGATTTTTGTCTTTGCGGGGTCTTTATAGTGCTGCGAGACTACGCAGAAACCATTCATTAGTCGTTAAACAATGGCCGATTGCATTGGTATGGACGCATGTGGTCGTTAAGCAGTTTAACGGCCTGGCTCAGCCGTAACAAAGGTCATAGATACAGCGATCATATGCACATGAAAATCATGAGTCAAAGACGAAGGCAAGCGTTTACGATCCAACAAACTGACGTCCTAAAACCAGTTGTGATCACACGTCGACAAAACCGGTTCTCGGCCAACTATTTAGCTTGGATTTGAAGGCGCCAGGGAACCCTCGATTTCGTATGTTTCCTCTGTAGGATGCGAGCATTTTAGACCGTGAATCTCCAAGAACATCTCATCACGTAATTTTAAGGGGGCGATCTCGTTTAGCTGGAGTTGTTATATCAAGAAATATTTCGGCACACTGCTATGTTTTGTCCAAAGTTGGACAGGTATACTCGTGCTTTTCATCTCTAGTCATCTACGAAGTTTAGTTGCTTTGACATCTTTGTTTTGGCCAAAACCTCAAATGGTCCATATTAAACAATCTTAGTGTTTAAATTTGAATTCACTATCTATATGACTCAAAGCATTAACTGGAATGTTTAAGATTTGTGTTCCTCTAATGTTTTGATCACCTTCTGTATTCTTACCAAACAACTAAATCTTAGTTTCGAATGATAAACGAGTTTATCGCCCCTACTCCTTTTTATTCCAGTTTCATTCGATCCTCTCCATTTTCTCTTGTCCCTGGGGTCCGGAAGACAACCCAAGGGACGGTTCCCCTTTCTGTTTTGCTAGGATCTTCCCGCTCTTCACATTTACACATTATTTATGGTTAGATAGAATTACAAAACTTGCTTGGAAACAAATAGATGACTAGGGACATTTTGCTGCTTATTGTGCTAAACGTATAAGTAAAATACAAAGCATACAATAGAAATCAAATGTAATGAAAATAACTCGCTGACCAACAAACATTGCTTCGTCAAGAAGTGGTCAAACTTAATTTAGCATTATATTCGTTTCTATAACGTAGGAAATCTGTACTCCTTAGGACTTAGATTGTAACGATGCAAGAGTGCAACAATGAAAAATTCTTGTTTTCAACCCTAATTAAATTCTGCAATGAGCATCTATCCAAATTCTATAAAAACAGTTTCCAAAACATTGGATTTCTGCATTCAACAAACTGCTAAAACGTTGTTCATGTTACGAGCTTTTCTTTTGTCTTTTTCTATAATAGAATCCGAACACACCAATACCCAAACACTCACTTTCAATCGCACCTGCAAAGTTTTCGAAGGCCACGACTTGGTCTCATAGATCTAATCAGAATATATCACGCACTGCTTTCATCTGTGATCTTGGTTTGATAGTCATTTATCGTTTTCTGTACATATTCGAACAGTATTTTCCAAATGTTTTAAGATAGTTTGGTTCATCCATAGAACAACTGGTGATTTTAAAAATGTTAGAGTTGTTAAAAGTCTATTTTTTTCTCTTGCGCAATGTATTATAGTTTGTGCCTGTCTAATCTAAAATTCTAAAACTTTTTATTAAGCATATGGTTGATATTAGTGGTGATGGTGATTATTATTGCGCATTCATTTGATTATTGGCTTCCCCATTTCTCTCTGTTACCTTCTGAATTCAGGATGAAACTATTTGCAGATATCTTTAGATAAATATTATATATATATACCATGCAGGAAGATGGTTTGTCAGAAGTTTCATCGATTGAAAGTCTTAGCTTGAGCGATGGCCAACCAGAGGCTAAGTTATATATATATAAATAATAGAACGCCAGTCATGAGTTGCCCTTCCTTAGAACAGCTTATGGAATGAAGACCTCTTTCTCATATTTGTTCTCAGTAATGAATTCATTTAATGATTCCATTGATATTCATAGTATCCGTAGTATTAGGACTTTGAAAAGTTTATATTTATAATATATTGTTTTCTGTTTATAATATATTGTTGTAGTTGGGCATTTGCCTGTTATTGTAATTAATTCTAAAATAAATAAATAACACTCATAATCCTTTTATATAACCACCATCTTCCGAACCAAACACTTTTTCGATATTATTATCGATATTTGATACAAGGCTTATTACAAATCTTCCAACACGTGGACTCGTTCTTTTATTTTATCAAAATGTGTCTATACTCTAGATATTTATATTAAATGTCTAAATACGATACACAACGCAATAATATTTGTTCATTTAATAATGGCACGTAGAGGTGCCTTTGGGAAATAACTATCACAACTTTCAACTGCAGCAGTGAAATTATTTTCGTGAAGTAATGTATACGGGTGGTTGGCTGAGAGGTGCAAAAAAATTAATCTATGATCTTTTATGTAATAAAAACCTCTTTGATCAATACGAATTAACTTTTTCTCGTCGCTCAAATCCTTGATTTTTCCCATTATGTTCCTTTTTATACATAAAATGCATTTACATATGGCCTACTAGCATAGAAAGCTTATTAAAAGAAGCGCTTGTTGTGAAATTAGCCAATCTGTAGGAGGTTTCGTAGCATAGAGAACTTTTGAAATTGTTCTTAGATCTTCTGTCATCAATACACTTTTTTTTGGGCTCGAAACACCATACTTCTCGAAAAAGTGATGTGTCAATCTGGCCGTAAATACCATTATCTACTAAATGAACTAGTTTTTATACAATTCGCCAATATCTAGATGGGTAGTCCCAGTGTAGTGGATTTTTGAAATTCTTCATAGATCTTCAAATATTAAAATTTTATAAGTTTGTGCTAGCGAAACGGCAATCAGGGAGACTGAAAGGGTTCAGTAGATGATTCATTCATTACATAATTTATCGTAGATTTTAAAAATATTTCACTTCTCACCAATGATGCATAGGTAATGGAGAAATAATAATATTTCCTTGATGGAATGAGTCAGAAAACTCAATTTTTGCGGCATTATGACCCATTTAGTTTGTGGCATCTCACAGCGAACCAACTGCGAATGTACAGACATTTCTCATTGTTGAACATGGTCCCCATTCAAGATATATTAGCCTTTTAGATGATATTGGATAACGTTTTTATAACAGTAAAATTATTCAGGCTTTACGTGATGGACATAAAACTGACAAAGGCATTGGTGTTGAAGACGAGTAGACTTGTATTAACTTTCATAAGGTGTCATGAGAAAACATTTTCCTATCATCAAAATGATAGTTATAAAACGATTAAGTCAACTTGAATCTCTCTCCCCTTAATTCGCTCAATAAATCCTACTTACTTAATTATTTATAATTTTATTAATAACGTCACTGATGCATAAGATGTTTAAACGTATACAGCAGTGAACATATTTGATCTATCTTGTTTTATTGACATTTGGACTGACAGAGTCATCAATGCTGTTCGGCTACATGTTTATTTTTCTCAATATACTCAATTTTATTCAAAATCTTGTTCACAAATATATTTTTGTGTTGCCAATGTATGATGATTCTCGTTCCCGATATCATAGGAAACTGAAAAATTGTGAAACTGAGATAACCGACTCCAGAAACACCTGTACCTGTACGTGCAACCATATTTTGTCAAAATAGTTCAGTTTTTGTACAAAATTTACTTTAAAAGTGAACAAACAGAGTTATATGAAATCGTTTTACAAACAATTGTCCAATCTGGCGAAGGGCGGATTTTTTTTTTTTTAGTTTTAGTGCCGGCAAATTGCATTAGTCATCGACAGCCCTTCTTTAGCGTCTAGCCTGTCTGTGCCTCGTCAATTATGGATATAAGAACACAACAAACATAAATTACACAGGAAGATAAAATCATGAAAATCTGGTTAGCATTCACACTACTCCAGAGTACTCAATATTCTTTAAGGTAATTAGAGATAGCCCGTCCATTCACGCTAATAAATTGCACTCGCCCACCTGACTTCGTTCTCACTACCTCAGAATACCCGATATTCCTGCCATTCATGCTAATAATTACAAACACATACCCCTAACCATTCTCACTACCTCAGTGTACTCAATATCTTTTTTTTTAATTTCTGTAAGTATATGCTTAAGCAATAGGTTTAATGTGTGGTGTTTAGTTT